AAAATTGACCAATCATATCTTTCCTCTAAATGGGCGGGCCTTGTTATCACTAACTTTATGACCTTTAAGCTCCGCCCGCTGTGGGGATCTCTCAGAAAAAAAATATATACGCTGATAAACTAACTAGCTATTATTCATGTCACGAACGTAAGTGAGGACATTTGCTAGGCCGCTGAGCCAATAATAATATTATTTATTATAAACACTGCTTGTTTGTCATGAAGTGTCTGTTGCTAATTTGTTTTGTGTCAACGTCATGATGTGTCCTGTTAAACACATTACATTTGTTGGTTTTGTGTGATGGGAGGGAGTGTCTGTACGTTTTGCCCACTGAAGTGCAGATATTTGTAATGAGGATTTGCATTTGACTTAAATTTAGCTGTTTTATTTTGGTAATATCAGTCACTCTCGCTGTGCTGTTTTGTTGCGGTCGCGCATCGGACTAGAAGCTGTACGTTTTGCCCACTGAAGTGCAGATATTTGTAATGAGGATTTGCATTTGACTTAAATTTAGCTGTTTTATTTTGGTAATATCAGTCACTCTCGCTGTGCTGTTTTGTTGCGGTCGCGCATCGGACTAGAAGCACAGTGGTGCCCCGCTGCAACACGTATCACACACTGAACGCGTCGCGTCAGCAAACGGGATGAGAAATTGTAATCTATAGCACAATGAATCACGGAATTTATTAGAGCCACAGAAAGACAAACGTTTTGCTAAAAAATGCACAATACACAATCTTCCAACCTAGGATGAAGTCATTATGTACATTAACAATAATTTGTGACAAATATAATGTAATTTAATGGAAAATGATGTCAGTGGCACTGAGGCGCTCTGTGGCGCGGCAGGATTATAAACAGCGTCCGGAGTCGGGATCCGCGGACAGTCGCCGGTGGCGCCGCCGGTGTGCATACAGTCATGGAAAACAATGTTTGGGAATTTTAAAGACGTGGTGCGGCACGGTGCAGGGCTGCACATGTCGTCTGTTGTGCGACCGCCTTAAGGCTGGATAGCCTCTTGTTTCAGAGGTGGAATTGTCAAAGATGACTTTTAGAAGAGGACACCGTAAGCTAGGCTGGTAGTTTTTTCCCCCGACGAGGGTAGGAGGAGAGGGCCTAGGCTCAAGAGTAACGGTTCGCTACTGGTCTTTTCTGATTTACAGTTGAATCACAGAGCAAGCTTCTGCATTTTTGTATTCTTGCCAGTGTGGCCTTGATTGATTGACTGACTGACTGACTGATTGATTGATTGATTGATTGATTGATTGATTGATTGATTGATTGATTGATTGATTGATTGATTGATTGATTGATTGATTGATTGATTGATTGATTGATTGATTGATTGATTGATTGATTGATTGATTGATTGATTGATTGATTGATTGATTGATTGATTGATTGATTGATTGATTGATTGACAGGTAACATGTACACATTGTTCATTTACACAAACTGCTGACATTGTAACAAAGCTAGTTGAAAATCAGTAAAATCAGTGA